TATATAAAAGGTGTTTCATTTCAGGTAAAATTCAGAAGGCTATAGTGAGTAACCTCTTTAATTTCAAAAACACTTGGTGAGTCCTCAAGACTTATTCCTGCAGTCTGTGGTGTTCAACACTGACACCAAGCTATTAAAAGAATGTGTATGATACCATAGGTTGAAGTCCCTGCAGAAATCATAACCTACACATTTTTGTGTCAAATAGAGGTGAATTATTTTCTAGCCTTGTTGATACCCAGGGTTTTCTACCCTAACATACCTTTTTCAGAATGCCTTTCTGTCTCCTTAAATGTAACTACAGCTTCCTCTGGATTTTTTAGCATTACCAGATATCCACAGCCCATAGGATCATAGAGTTACTATGGTTGGAAAGGACCTCTAGGATCATTGAGTCCAACCTTCCTCCTAATATTTCCCTAACCACTAGACCATAGACTCAAGTGCTACATCTACTTGGTTTTTTTAACACCTCTAGGGATAATTCAGAAATGAACACAGACTGCTTATTCATAAGTATTTAATCAGTATTGTAACTGATTGTAACTTCTGTCAGGGGAAAATGATCAACGCATGTAATCACATCAAGATCTGATATTACAGATCATGGAAGAAAGCTTGTCAAAAATGCTGACACAAAATTTTGTGAAGCTAAGTGCAAGCAACTCCTCTTACTGTTTTTGATACTCTGTTGAATAAAGACTTTATTTTACAGATTGTTTTTTAGTACTTGGTTCCACAGCTCTGATTCCTGTTGCCTACATTCACCTTTCTTTCTGTGAATGTTGCCTCCATTAACAGCTGTATTCTGTATTTCCGTAGACAAATAAGACTTTTTTACCAGTTAAGGGTGTTGGAGGGAAGTTTCAAAATGTTAGGAATTCTTAAACAGGACAACTACAGGACTTACTGTCACCAAAAATGTGCAGTGCCCTCAGGCTGAGTGTGTGAGAATAAACATAAGAATGACTTTCTTCTTTATTCTCTTTCTTCTTCAGTTTCTCCAGAGTAACAAGTATGAAATTAATATCCTGTATATTCAGGAGTGTATACAGGACATGTTTAAAATGGCCAACAGGCTTCCAACTGTTCAGATTTTTACTTTTATGTACTGAAAGTGATGGGAGAAGGTTGTCTTTCTGCTCTTTTAATGAGTTTAGGAATTACTGTACAGAAGTTGAATAATGATGCTTCATGCTTTTCAGTGTCCCACTTGTGCATGGGATCAATGCTGACTTCTTCAGAAGGAGCAGGTTACTTTGCTTTACAGTTTCAGTATAGTTTTACTAGATAATCTTTTGATTCATAATAGATGAAATGTGTTAATTATTATAGCTTGTGATGTTCTTGTTACCCGTATTAATATTTTGTACTTGACTAATTTTTAACTTTGACTTCCCCTGAAGCAGTGTGTTTCATATTTTAATTACACTTGACAGTGCTGAAAATTTATGAAAAATAATTTCAGTGTGGTACTAATGGGTAATTTTGGTCCAATGGACATAGTTTAATAACGCATAATAAAAGGATTTGATAAATTTGGAGTTACCAAAGAGAAAGAAAGTAAGTTTGCAGAAAGAATGACACTCCTTTCACAGAGGAAAGGACCTGTCCCATATGCTCTGGCATCCTTAAATCTGAGTTTGTATGTTTGATTTACGTTCTGTGTAGTTTTCTCTGTTCTATTTCTTTAGTCTCTCCTGACTTTTATTACAGCCCAAAAAGTTTGAAATTTGATATTGCTTCCTTCCTTAGGGAGAGAACCTTCCATCTCGAGTGATACCAGGACAGATTCCTCTACAGACAGCTATCCTTATAAACAGGCACACCATGAGTCTGTGGTCAGTCACTTCTCCTCTGACTCGCAGGGGACAGTCATCTACAATGTGGAGAATGATGCAGCTTCGCAAAGCAGCAGGGACACAGGTAGCAGACACCACGACATTTGTGTGATCCTTGCTGTTAACTATGATGACTGCAGTGGATTCCAGTGAAAGATCTCCCTATATACAGCCTAGAGCAGAACAAGGAATAGTGCTTAGTATGCTGCACGTTTTTGATTTGTAATGAACAGCTGGCATTTACAAGAAATAACTTGTATCTATCCAGACAAACGTATTTTTGTTATCCACAATCCCACCTGTGCTCTTTGTTATATAGTCCTGTAAGTTGGAGTATGTACAGTACCACTGTACAGTTTAGTGAGTGTTGTGTGTACTACTTACTCATCTGCTGGCAGTTACTTCATCACAGGAGTTGCAGCTCTGTAGGAAAGGTGCTTTCATCACCAGAATCTCTTGTATTTGGACACTAAGGACTTTCTATGTGAGTGGTATTAGTGGTATTTACTGCACTAGGGAGGAGCAGAAGATGTTTTCCTACCCATGCAATGGAAGCAAGTTAAGTGAGAATCTACAGTGAGAATACAATCTGTATGTACTGATTGAGGCAGCTGAATAGTCTGCCTGAACACTTGTAAGTTGAAAAGAGGTTAACTGGAAGTCTGAAGGCGTAGATCTCTTCTATTATTTATGCCCAGTGACCCTCATCAGCCTGTTTCTGCATACAGTAACTTTGAATATCACTTTTTCAAAAGCAGCGCATGAGTTAAGATCAGACTTTTTGAGCATCAGAAATGTGATCTGAAGCTGTTTGAAAAGTTACTTCATTGTCCCTTAAATAGACTTTCTAAGAAGACATAAGAGTTGAACCAGCAACTGTTTGTTGTACCAGTGTGGCAACAGCCATCGTACCACTTCTGTCCCTTTGGTTGGAAAGTATTTGCACCCTTGTATTGTGACAGTATATATGGATTTGGTTCATTTGAAGCAATCTACAGTACAAATACTGTTCACATCAAAATATGGGAAAAGTACTTCAAGTTGGTTTTCTTTAGTACTCTTGGATTCTTCATCAGAGGTTCAAGTAACTAATACATGGTTTTATATAACTTGGCAATACTTTTAGTGTTTTGGCAAATACTTAACACTGTAGGTTCCAGTCATAGTCCTATGTAGAGTATGAGAAAGAAGAAGCTGGAGCAGGATTTGGGTGATGAGGAAATAAGATTTATGTCGATCTTCAGAGTACAAAGAGGACAAAATTGAAAATGCTGGTGGAATAGTGTTTATATGGTCTGCAAAAGTGGCAGAGTTTATTTGATTAGGTTCCTCCCTGCAAAACT